ACACTTTGCAAGCGTCATTTACAACTTGTGGAACAGTTCAAATATAAGTACTAGTACAAAAGCGAATTTATCATATCACAAAGAATAAATCGATATATGCCCGAATCGACTTAAATGTTAATTCGAGTTTCAGGGCAAAAGGTAAAGGGGCGGTTCTTTTTAATAAAGAAATTCAACTGAAATAAGCACATCAAAAATACATTTATTATTATGGTTATAAGAATTTAAGATCCGCAGCAATATACAAGATGTGTTCCGGGCCACTCGTTTCTTTGATTCAATACACATCGTTTCACAATATCAATATCATTCGTGTAGACGAATAAAACTGTTCCAAAATATCGATCGGAATTCATTTAATTCCATGGCTGTTTCGACTATTTATACGTAAATTCATCGCCCAAATATAAAGGTGTCGCGAAATGAGGTTTTGCAATCGGTCCATTTATATTCGATATTACACACATGCCATAGGCGTAGAATGACTTGTTGCCCACAGTCAATGAATCTCATAATTAGAAAATAAATAGTATATATTTGATTGATATATATTAGTCATATTTTCGTTCCTTTCATATACTTTGATTGAATGCATATGTTCTTATATGAAGTTCTGTGTGGAATTAATAAAGAGCAGAGCTGCAAGAATAACTTCTCGAGGAAATGAATATTTTATCGGAAGAAAAATGATCGTCAAAGATAATGATCGTGCTAGATAAATATATTTTTGGCATATCGTATCGTGTACAAGTGTTCTTGCGGTTCTGATCATTCATATAAATTGCATGCTTCAATAGCTTATAGTTTGACCAAAAGAGTTAAAATTAATTATCAATAAAGCCTGTTATGTTAAAAGATCATTCGTTTTCGATATTATTTCTACGAAAGATGTGGTAAGTGGTAAGCATAAATAGAAAACACAATAAAAAGATATTTCGATATACAAGCACCTATTTTGAAAGCACATAAGGCACTATTTAAGTGCATAATATAACAATCTGTGAATTATTCGTACGTCTACTATCTACGGGAAAATTAATGTAGTTGATAGAATTTAAGAGAAAATTGTAACATGAGAATTGTGTAGTACGATAATAAAAATTATTTTAGAAATACTTCGATAATAAATTAAGATTATTTTTTTCATTATGACGTATTTATAATATATTTTTATAAGCCACAGGATGCAACGCTAATGTACGTGTTCGCAATGTACATCAATTGTGCTTTGTACAAGTTCTATCGTTCGCTCAAAAAATTTAGTCTTCTCTTAATTTCAGTTCCATTATTGTACTCTTACGTGATCCAGACGATTAATAATTTTGTATGGAATTATAGCTATTGTAAAGGAGCCTCACTTTCTTGGGTATAACTTTTAACTCTACTAAATTTAAGTGGTGGATATCGCCCACCAATGGCCGATACTCTCCATTCTCTTACAGATGGTTCTTTCAAGCACATTTTCGCTTCATGACCATTTCTATACTTTGTAAATATAGTATAACTGAGCCATTTTAATTGCGAATTCAACCGTCTATGGTGATCTTGAATCTCAAATTCCTGTGAACAGCCAGATATACTGTTCTTAAATATCTGTTTTGTTGCAATTTAAATATTATTGACTTTAACTCAGTACCCGTCGACACTTACAATATGAAATGTTTGTTCCCCACTATCATGCATAGGTTCCTTTTTATTCTTTCTGTATGTAGTAACACCTTTTACCTCTTGTTTTTTGAGCACTAAAGTAACGCAATTATCGTGTAATCTATAATGACCAATAAGAACCAATGGATTTCGTGGAATACGGTATTTTAGGGAGTTCACACAACTTTGTGCATCATCAGTTGAAGTTAACATCAAAACTTTTCCTTCGGGAAAAAATCTGTTTAAAAAAAGAAAAAAACACTTTAAGCACATGAGTTTTTGATGGTAAATACATTAACAAATTACATTATGACATACCTCAGGTACCTGAAGTATTCCACCAGATGCCAAGGTCTATAAAATCGATCTTGGAAACTATTTTCACCATCGCGAATATAACTCGTTTTACTAATATAACATCCATTATATCTTAGTCTAGGCCGTTGTAAATACATTTCCCTCCATGATTGATATTTTGGAGCATAGGTACCACAATTTACACCCCATACTCTGCATAATATGGTCATTGTTTAATTACTTCACTACTATTAAAATCTAATAAGAAGTTTTTGCAACCTACCTAACACAGGCAAGTCTCCATATTTCTGTATCTCTTGCAGATATATAAAATCCACGGCATACTCTGGAGAACATTTCAAGAGACCTTAAGTCAAGCTCTGAAGATACAACCCACCTCAAGATATAAAGTACAATTTCCATAGGCAAGGCAGAAATATGGATTGTCTGAAATAAGGAATGCCCTGCAATATTTAGTATGATGTTCGACAACGACAATATCATGTTTAAGCATGCATAACACATTGTTATAAATCATTATACAATTCTAGGTACAAGTGCTCACATTTTGCTCAAATTTAGGAAAACAAACACATTTATTATGGTTTACAATTTTGCATAATTTAACAAATAAATCACATTCTTCTTCATCTTCTTCAGTATGAGCTTCAGCATTATCATCAATATCATTTACATTATTATCAAATCCATCATGATTATCTTCATTTGATTTTAGTTTAGTTGATTCATACAAACGAAATTCAATGTCAGGAACTAATAATACAGCACGTTTGTAAAATTGAATTGCTTCATATAACTTTCCCTTTTCCTCATATTCAATTCCTTTCACAAACAAGTTTTTTGCCTGAAATATTTATCTGTTTGTATTATATGCATATAAACACATTATTTTTAAAATTTGTATCAATCCACGTTATACATTGTTTTCGATCGATTCTTCGTCGTTAGAAACATCAACTTGAACCGTTTTCATGAATTGCGCTTTAGATCGTTCCCGTTTCGGTGATATTTCTAATTCACGTTGCCATTGTTCTCTAAAAGATGTTAAAGCATTCTTGATGTTCGTTTTCGAAAAAGAAGACCCTTCTTGATCATCTCCGCCGTCGTCCGAATCGCTAGATTCGCTAGAGTGATTCTATTGACATTACGAAAAAGTATGCGTGAAATACTTGATTATCTATATAAATCATACTTGAGAAATAAAAATAAGAATAAATTACTTTTATATATTATTTAACTGCTTTACTATGAAGCAATATTGAAAATGACGTTGTATTTTTCTGCTCTAGTTGAGGTTATATTGACGTAAAAAGCTTTTTATACGGCAATGATAGAAGGACAGTTATTAATTTTCACACGTTACGTACCATTTTTTCGTCTGTTTCAACTTTTACGATATTGTTCCTTCAGCGCTTGTACTCTCGGTCAGAAAAACGTTCGACACCGTGAAAATACAATCTCGCCAACAGGACCGCCGCCATGGTTCTCGTCTTTCTGTTCTGCGATTCAATTACAGGTCATACTGGTAGCTATAGATTACTTTTTTCTATATTTTTAGTTGATGCAATCAATTTTGAATCTTCGTCACATCAAAAAATAATTTTAAAAGGATAAAAAGAGCATATTACCCTACGTTGTAACATACTCATTACATAAACGAATTTTTCACAATACATATTTATTTTACGTCAGCATAAAGATAAGAAAGTTTTTTTAAACGATGGTGAATGTGAACTGTATGGGTATCGATAGTTCGATACTTGAAAATTAAGTACTTAGTTAGCACATCAAGTGTTTGAAAAAGCTGTTGAACATTGTTTACATATATATTTATCCATAAACAAACATTTGAGTATTTTTATAAAATATATTTTACAAAATTTTGAAATAATATAAAACGCCATAAGAAAATAGTTTCATAGACCTTTTAGTGCATTCGATTATTCGATATATCGTTCGATTGTACTAATATAACAGTTTTTAATTTTTATTCTTACTTTTCAAACTTTTCTTATTTTCAAAAGCGTGTGTATAATACATGCCTGACTATACATTGACAACAACTACTGTTTTTCAAATGTGTATTACAAATCTTCACAACTGTGTTACTTCTTATTGTAAGTACACTTACAACACACTTTTTAATACACTCCCAATCGATTGATTGGAATCCTCAAAAATATCAAAATCAGTTTGCAAATATATTTCAAACCAGCTTTACTTTCTAATTTAACAATAAATTGTTATCTCGATTACTTCAGAACACTGTTGTTCATTCTGTATAATAATAGATTTACTACGCATTTAACCTATTTAAGGTAACATATAATTACTTAAAATTTTGATAAAACGAACCTAACCTTAAACTAAAGTTTTTTCAAAAACTACCCAAAAATTTATTTTAAACGGATTGCAACAAAATTTGATATTAAAATTAGAATTTATACTCGAATGTTTATTCGTCAATATCGCTTTGGCAAAAATATGTAGAAAGAGCTGTCTCGAAATAGACAACGATATGGTAATATGTATTCAGAAAATAGCGCAACAATAGCGATTTGTAATTCAACCTGTTTCTCGCGCGATCGGTATGTCCCATACACGTGGATCAACATCGTGGACCCCTCCTCTTCTTCAAAACTATCACTACCTGAAGATCATCTTCCTGAGTAAAAGCCGCGTGCTAACCGAGTGTGGGCACAGACAGCATCATGAGCTTGGTGAGTACGAAACCACTCATTCACTGTATACTTCTTTACCGATTAAGTTTTCTCCTTTTGCATTTCGCTATCGTATCTTCCACATGTGACGGATACAGCTCGTGTCGTTGTGACAGTGAATCAATCATATATCGCAATGATAAGTGAAAAGTGTTTCGATCGTCTCTCGAAAGAACAAGTGAAAAAAAGTCGTCTGAGAGAGATTTTACCTGATTGTGTACAATATACAGAGAAGAAAGTCCGTATATTTTTCTTTATTTAAGAAAGAATCGATATCTCGTTGATTTCGTTTGAAATTAATCAGGAACTGCTACTGTGAAAAATTATTCAGTATGATAAAAGTGAGTTCTTCTTTTTTTTTCTTTTTCTTTTAGGTATCGTAACTTTCGTAAATCGTTGAACGTTTTCACGTTAGGTTATATACACCGTATAAATTCTATCTACGCGATGGTAATCGAAAGTTACTTGTGCCGTGCGACTCAATGCTGGAAAAATTCAGATTTCTACCCAGAAGAAGTTCCCGATGAGCATTCTGTGCTGACGACTTTCTTCTCTCCTGTATTTGTGTGCTCTACGATTCAAATATTTCCAGGTGTACACACGCCTAGCATTCCCTACTGTACCGGTATACTCTCGAATTTGACATTGTTGTATTTGAGGTTAATTTACTTATTTAGAGGTTTGGAAAAAATTATATAAATTTCTAACAAGTAGAATTTATATTTATCTCTTTAACGAAGAATCAATATTAAAGTAAAAACATTCAGAATAGCAGAATAGAGCTTTCCAACAGATAGTATTGTAATTTCCTATCGATAAATGCAATTTCATTATCTGTCCCACTTTTCATTCAACTTCGATTCTCCTCGATTCTTCTAGAAACTATTTATTCTACAAAGTTAATCTACGAGTCATTAGACAAGGATGATTAACCTGAAAATATCTTGCTTAGAGTATCTTTCAATTCCTTGTTACTTTTAGTTTCACTGTCGAACGAGGTTCATGCTTTTGTCGTTAAAGAACTTTCTTTCCATCATCACGCTGCTTTCCTCCAACTTTTTCCTTCTCGCCTGTACGTTGTTCCCGTAACCTTGTAAGTTTCGTTCGTTATAATCGACGATTCATCTTTTTCTCACGTAGAAAATTCATCCATCTTCGGTTTATTCCCTTTTCAGAAGGGAAAATCGTTAACAAGGTGGGATTAATTTCGTTCTCGAATTCCTCGTACGCAGCACGCGTGTTTCACGAATTTGCAATTTCAACAACCTATTTGTTATGTGGTACACTATCGTGTATCGCGAATGCGATTAATTGAAATACGAATGAATTTCACGCAAGAGCGATCGACGTGCAAACACGCGAGCGATCTATAAATCCTAACGTGATCTTCGTTTCGTGAGAACAAAAATCTGGGAATTTCGCGCTTTCGCGGAGTTAATGAACCAAAACCTGAGATGCAGATACGATCGATACACACACCTGTAATTTATACACGCGCGGAAACTTAATATCGCGCGGTTAACGCTGCGGTTTTTGCTTCTGTCACTTTGTTTCGTTCCTCGTTTTATCGGGCAGCCTGTAAAACCGTTTCGTTTCTCGTAACCTTGGAAATTCGATCTGTAGGGGAAACGAGTGTTTTTCTGGCGAGACGTAGGTGTGATATTTCTTTCTTTCTGTACTTAAATTGGAGGTTATAATTCGGAGATGTATAAGAAAATATGAGAAAATAATTTGAGAATATATTGGAATATCCGTACGATTCATAAAATAAAAGAATGCTTATACATGCTTTCTACTTTAACACACTTTATTCTTTCATAAAATTCACGATTTTTATGTTATTAGTGCTATCTTACGTTTTCATTTCAAGCTAAAATTAATTTGATACGTGTAAAATAATTTTTTCAAAAAATCTTCTGTAAAATGTTTAATTACAATATTTTTCTATTCACTTATTTTGAAACCAGGTATATCACAGTGTTTTTATGTTATTAATGTTACCTTACATTTTCATTTCAAGCTAAAATTAATTTGATACATGCAAAGTAATTTTTTCGAAAGTTCAACTATAATATTCTTCCATTCAAACATTTTCAATCCACATATGCCACGATTTTTTCGCTCGCACTTGAAGTTCCATCAAGTGTCTTACTTTTCTTTGCAAGTGTTAATTTCCTTCTTCAGCATCTCCCCCCGTTTCGTTCTCCTTAACCATCGAGGTTACTAAATTTCATTTTATATCACTTCTTTCTCCATAGAAACGTTCTGCACGTTTATTCTCGCTTCGAACACCTTGAAAAAACTGTTAAAACTACTTTTCACACGACCATTTCTTTTTTCATTCGACAAATATCAATCATGTTCTTTCTCGAAGCGTAGTGTTTCATTGTCCCGTTCATTTTTACCGCGGACGAAGATAAACGACTGTGTCGTTTTAAAAAATGCATATCCATTGATCCACGCGCGGTTTCAACGTTCGACCATAACGACCAGAAGTGTCCTCTGTCACCGTCGCCTTCTCTGTAAAACCACCGTTCGGGGAGAAAGTAATTACTAAACGATTTATGACGAGAGCCTCGATTTGGGTGTGGATACTCTATGAGTTCTCTCGTCGTTCGACGAGGACGGGGGTTCGTTGAACCTTAAGCAGGTGGCATCTTTTTCGATGCTCGCCGAAGAAGAAAGTTTTTTTCTCCGGTCGATGAAGATGCGTGACCCGATCCGAAAGGGAGATCAGCAGCTTCTGATCGTACACCTTGAAACGTAGCTAGACCTCTAGTTACGAAATAATCGCGTGAATTTATATTTATGATAATGAACGTTTACGAGCTACGGAGTTTTAATCTTTATTGCTAGAGAACATGTGATACGAGATTCATGAATATTTTCATTCATTAACTCTTCTAACTCGTAGTAGCGTGTCATTGTGAAATCGAAAGGTAGTTCTATGGTGAAAAAAAAAAATTACTAGGCTTCCATGTGAAATTTTACTTTCGAATAAATTGACGTTTTATCTTTGTCGAATGTGTTTCTAATGTACAGTGAGTAGGTGTATGTTGCAAGATTGTTGGGTTTGCGTGGAAAATTTTGCTTTTTAAATGTGTGTTTGTGGAAAGTGCGTTTGTTAAGAGAGAGACTGGAGAGAATTTTTTAGAAAAGAAAAGACAAGACTGTAGTTCTTCTTTTTTAATTTAATGGTAGATATGAACAGCAATATAGGTAGCTTCGAACGATGCTTATTAGACACAGATAAGCACCAAAGTGAAGCCAAATTAAAAATTATTTTTCATTTACAATCGGCATGTTTTGGATTGCTTATCAATTCGAAGACACCCAGTATAACATGAAGTATCGTATTTTTCAGAGAGTAATGGTTTTTTAAATTAAGAAAAAAAAAGAAACATCCTCAGATTCCCCAAAAATTGTGTGAATTTTAAATTACCACAAAAGAAAATTCAAAACTTTTCAACCCTGAAGTAATCACAAGATCGATCACTCTGCGATTAATTAGAAATCCGACGAATATGAAATATCGTATTTCTGGGACAATAATTTTTCAAAAATCGTTTTTTAAATTCCAGCAAAAATTATTCTCAGATTTCCAAAAGTTGCACAAACTCTAAGTTACCACGAAAAAATTCAGAACTCTTCAACCCCGAGGTAATCGAAGCAACCTCGATAAATTCGCGATCGATTAGAAACCCGACATTTCATATTGCACGACCTAATTTTTAAAGTTTCTTATTAAGAATTCATTTTCACTTGACGATCATTCTCGATCGCTTTCCATCCTTCCTCCCTCCCGAGATAGGACCGGATCGATCACGACGACGACCACCTCGTCGAGTTATATGCCTCATCCGATAAATTGTCCCGAACGAGGACGTTCTTTCGGCATCGTTACAAAGCTGTCATCCTCGAC